GGACCATAACTACAGCCTGAAGGGGCAGCAGGCAGCGGGCGGGGAGGCACGGCCGCCGCTGGAGACCACGCAGCAGCAGGTCCCTGCGGCCGGGAGATGCTTCCCCCAACACCGGCCCAGAACGGTGGTGAGCATCCTTCGGGAACTGGCGGAGAAGCAGCAGCTTTCTGAGGAAACTCTGCGTTTGCTGCAGGCCCAATTTTCAGGTACTGCTGGGGGCATTTGCTAAGGCATAGTGCTTCAGGGTCTGTACTCCCTTACCCCAGTTTTATGTATTTGTTTGACTTTATGGTATCGGTAATCCTTGACTGTTAGACCCCTAGGTCCTGTGCTATAGCGCAAAGGCTTTGTGATTTGTAGGTCTGGAATGCAAGAACCATTCCTACAAAGAAAAAATCTCCCTGAAAAATTCAGTTACTTGAGGCTGGCTACAGTGCTCAGTAAGACCTGTAACCAAGGCTGTTAAACTGTGCCACCATTCAGCTGACAGATGACTCAAGATTAGGGTATATTTATCTAGGAAAACCTTGTCTTTTATGCTGACAAGAAGTGAGCTCTGTTAACGTTAGTAATATAACTTGAAGAAGCCATTTCAAATTGCAGAGCCAACCATAAATTAAAGGCTTCTCTTCTGTTATGTCAATTCTTAAGCAGCACCCACATGTAAGACAGTTTTTACTCAAAACTCTGTAATGACATGAGATAGGAAAAGATGTGTTGGGGACTCAGCCTCAGACAGTATGGTAGGGCACACACTCCCTGGCCACCACCTGTCCCTAGGAAGAGGTGAGGCACAGCGATAGTTTTGCTGAGCTGTACGCTTCGCACCAGATTTCAGGACTGAGTGTTTCCAGAGGCCATCCTGTTGCCTTCTATTGTGCAATGTGTGTGTATTATGCATCCCTCTGTTAAGTTATGAGCTATTTATTTGCTTCACTAAAGCTGACCTCTTGGGTTTTTTTTTTAAGCAGATTTGCCGTTAGAGTTGCACAGCTGGAGACAGATGGCAGAATACTCACCAGAAATGAGGCAATTTGCTTGTATTCTCCACCTCTACCATATTAAGGCCTATGATTATCTACGGAAGATTTTTCCGCTCCCTCATCCTTACAGCCTGACAAAGCAAGTTTTTGTTCATTCATTCATTCTGAATGTATTTCCAGGTACTCATGTAGAAATAGGTGTAACAGATCTGTCCTGAAAACATTGAGCAGTTGTAGTTTTTCCCGGCTTTGTTTTTGTAACAGAAGCAGAATGGAAAGTAAATGTTAAGAAATACTGATAGCCCTCATCTCAGAGAGCTGGTATGTGTTATGCATGTGGGTCACAGCATGAGAATTTCACATTCCTTACATTAACGATTTTAGAGTAAGGGTGGAGCTTGCCAAGTATTCTTGGATGAGTACGGGGTGAAAAAAGCTATGTTTCAGGGCCTCAGCTGCTGCAGGGTCTATATGTGTTTTATTGTTCGCTGGTGAGGAAGGAGGAATACAAAAAAGCAGAGGTGCTTTACCACATTGGCACATGCTCTTGCCCTGTGATGTGCTGTGCAGACTTGTGAGAGGGGAGGGATGAGCCAAATAATGGAAGGAAGGGCAAATACAAGTAAGGTCATCTAAAAAGAAGCAGCAGGAGGCAGTGTTAAGGGAGCACCTGCATTACTCCACCAACAGCCAGATCTGAGCAAGGAGAGATGGGCAGGAATAAGTGTCAGTAGAGGAAATCAAAACCAATAGGACTATCCATGGAAAACTTTGGAACTTTTTTCTGGAAATGGGAGAAGTCAAGAAGGGAACATGGGAACGTGAAGGACTGCATAAAGCGGACAGAGTGCTTTGTTTTTTCTCACCTTGCCCCACAAGGGCTCTGGGAAGTTAGTGAATCTTGACAAGTGTCTGTTTCAGAGTTACAGAAGGGAGATATTTCTGTACCACATAACTCAGTTGTGTTACCCATTGCAAGTAATTATGTAGGTTCAGAATTTACTACCTGAAGTGCTATCAGACCCATTAACAAGGACTGAAGTTGTAATAGCACACAAAACAAAAGCTGAAGAAACTCTCTCCCTACAGGTTTTGAGTCTCAAGCACCTGTAGTGCAGTTGAAGGATGCCCAACAGATACACATATTGTCCATTCCAGCCTGTGGGGGTTTTGCACAGCTTCCTCCAAAGAATCTGCTCGAAGGTGTGCCAGGAGGTAGTGGACGGAGAGTGTATGGAGGAGAGTAGCATTCCACATGGGCTGCCGAGGCTTTCACATCCTCCAAACTGGGTTACAGTGTACAGTGTCGAGAAAGCCGGTTGGGAAGGAAAGCAGCCTGGTGTTGCAGGCCCTCTGCATAGCCTGATGTGCGCTTCTGTGTTTGGTTTAATTATTTTTTTTTCCTGTTAATCCTGATCTCCTATACGTTGGAGAGGCAGGAAGCTGCTTTGTTACTTCCATCCACGGTCAGTACTTTTGCTTGGCTTACCATCACTAGGGTGTGAGAAAAGAAACTCAAGACTATGCATTAAGAAAAGCAGGGCTCTGTCTTATCATGCTCTACAGCTCTAGACATGGCTGACGTATCCTAAGTGGTAAGAGGTGCTGACTGTTGCTTCAGTTTTCTCAGAATCACCTTTCCTAATGGCATCCTCTCTTTTTTTCTAGTTGGCTGTCTAATAGTGAGGCTGCTGCAGGCTTCAGCAATGACATTTTTCTCCGCCTTCAGGAAAAGGTAGAGAGAGGGGAACAGGCGTACCGCTACTGTGCCCTGATGGTACAAGACATGTCCCTGCAGAAGCAGCAGGAGTGGGACCCACAGACCCAGCGCCTGACAGGCTTTGTTGACTTGGGAGCAGGTGTCCTTGATGCTGATGAAGCTCCGCTGGCCTCAGAAGCGATAATCCTCATGGCAGTTGGCATCTCGAGTCCCTGGACAGCTCCACTTGGTTACTTCTTTGTGAACAGCATGACTGGCCACTTACTTGCTCAGCTGCTTCGTCAGACCATCAATAAGCTGAACAACATTGGCATCACGGTGCTCGCTGTGACGTCAGGCGCCACTGCTCGTGGTGCTGAGACTGCCAGAGCTCTGGGGATCAGGATAGATCCTGAAAGGATTCAGTGCACTTTCCGGCATCCGCCTGGCTCTGCTCACAGCATCACGTATTTCTTTGACATTTGCCATGCACTGCAGCTGATAAGGAATGCTCTGCAGTGCTTCCAGAAGATAGAGTGGCTCAGTGATACTGTGTGGTGGCAGCATGTGGTGGAGCTGGCGGCTTTGCAGGAGCAGAGGGTATCAGAGCTGTGCAGTCCCAAGTCAGGTGGACCTGGCAGTAAGGAGAGTTACCACCTGAAGGTCAACCTTGCTACCCTGTTGTTCAGCGAGGGTGTTGCTGATGCACTGGAACACCTCCAGAAGCTGGGCCTGGCCTCATTCCAGAACTGCAGTGGTACTGTCAAGTTTGTGCGTTTGATTAGCTGTCTGTGCGATGTATTTCATGGCAGAGGTTCCTATCGAAGGGGACTGAAAGGGCCTTTGCAAGCTGGAAATTACACTAAAATAAGCCACCTCTTTAATGAGGCCAAGAGTTTTTTCATCACCTTAACGGACTCTATGGGGAGATACATTATTAAGAGCAAACGCAAACTAGGATTTCTGAGTTTCTTGCTCAATGGCGAAAGCCTCAAGTGGCTCTACAGCAACTATTTGTGTCCAGAGGGCACTCCTTCCCTCCACCTCCTGACCTACGCCTTCAGCCTTGACCCACTGGAGCTGTTTCTCAGGACCCTCCAGCAAGCCTGTGGCAGCAGTGGGAGCCCCACCTGCACTGTGTTCCAGGCTGCTTATCACAAACTGCTGGCCAACTGCAGCCTGGTGCCAGGCTTACCACACAGTGGTGGCTCAGGCAATACAAGCTCGTTGGACATATCCCTGTCTCGTAGGAGAGATATGACCCTTGGCAGCGTTCGCGCTCAGTATAACCTAGCTTGTGGGAGGACACTGGCAACAGAGTACCTCTATTGTGCAGGCCTTCTTTTGCATGACTCTGCACTGAGTAACGCACTGACAGACCTATCGCTGCATGTACAGAGCATCACCTGCACAGCAGGCTTCATTGCTGAACAATTAGCCTCTGACTTGCAATGTGAGGCTTGTCTTGCTTCCCTCTTTGAGTCAGATGAGAGCAGGCTAAGATGTGGGTCAGTGCTGTACATAAAAAAGTTAGGTGGAGTGAGCCTGCCCTCGGCAAGCGTGTACCACATAACAAGCATTTCAGAACAAGTCCTAAACCGGTATGGCAAAGTAGGAGATGGCAACGAAAACACCAAGCTATGGCATTTGCTTCTAGAACAGAAAGTCTTCCAGGAGCTTCTGGGAGAAAGTCCCCTCTTCCCCACCCTCACAAACCATTTATTTGATGGGGAGATGTGCATCAACAATCACTACACAATCTTAGTAAAGGAAATAACACGATGTTACTTAAACATCAGAACAAATCATGCCAAACAACTGAACTTGAAATACCGTTGTGGAAGGCATAGATTGAAGAGACTGAAGGGAAAACACTTGTTTCCATGACCATTGGGTAGCTGTCAGTCAAGCCAAACCCATGCAGGGTCATTGCTGTTCCAAGGATGGCTGTCCTCTACTGAGGCTCAGTGACGGCCGCATCTAGGCAACATATGTGAGGAAATGATGGGGCATTGTCCCATGATTTGGCCGGCAAAACTCGTGTTGATGATAAGTGGTGATATGTTGGGCCACTGCAAACCATCTGATCTGTTTGGCTGAGCAAAGCAAGGAAGTTCATCTCATCATGTGTTGCATCTAGCAATCCTGCAAAGCAGCCGTGTATTTCATGAGACTTGTGTGGCCAGTCAGGATGAGCATTGGTTGCTTAAGATGCCTGGGAAAGTGGTAGGGGATGCTGCAGAGCATCCCCTGGAGGTGCTGGGTGGCTTAGTGCTGTGAGTGGTCTTGCTAGAAGAAAACTGATGCATCTTCCACGTATTTGCGGGGATCATGTGTGCTGGCAATTAGATTTCACCAAAGCAAATCTACTTTAAAGCTGGAGGCAAGAAAACTTGCAGAGCTTTTATTTACAAAGGAAAATAAAGACATGAAAAGTAAATGGCACTCAAGTTGTACATGGGCTCTAATCTCCACTCCTACGTCTCATCAAACAGCTAAACAAGCTGTTTAAGTCTAGATCCCCTGGAGAGGGGACTACAATATCAAACTGCACCCCTAAAGCCCCATGTTTTACAAGTGAGGTAGTGGATATTAAGCAAAGGCACTGTTGTCCATGAAGGTTGAGAGGGCAGTGCTGCAGCTGACTAGGCTGTGGCACCCAGCAGCACTCAGGGGCACTGACACCCTCCTTTCTGGCAGGAGCCCCAGGCACTAGCATATGGGTGGCTTTTGACACTGCCTCCCATGACATCCTCATAGATAAGCTTATGAAATGTGGGACAGATGAGTGGACAGTGATGTGGATTGAGAACTCGCTGAAGGACAGAGCTCAGAAGGTTGTGATCAGTGGCACAGAGTCCAGCTGGAGGCCTGTAACTAGCGGTGTTCCCCAGGGTTCAGTACTGGGTCCAGTCTTGTTTAACATACTCATCGATGACCTGGATGAAGGGACAGAGTGCACCCTCAGCAAGTTTGCTGACGACACAAAGCTGGAAGGAGTGGCTGATACACCAGAAGGCTGTGCTGCCATTCAGTGAGATCTGGACAGGCAGAGAGTTTGACAGAGAGGAACCTAATGAGGTTCAATAAGGGCAAGTGTAGGGTCCTGCATTTGGGGAGGAATAACCCCACGCACCAGAACCGGTTGGGGGTCGACCTGCTGGAGAGCAGCTC